CGATGGACAGTTTTTGTTTTTTGATTTACCGTCTTTCATATTTTACATATTCCACCATCTTACATTTGAGGAGTTAATTTAACTATCTGGAAAGCTTTGTTGGATCAGTGATCACAATTCACACCTTGCCATTTGGCTCTGAAGTGGCCCATTGTAAAGCGATATCTCAAATCTAGATCGGATAGCTTATGTGTTAATAAAGCTAAATGGAGATAGAATTTAAAATTGAGTAATAAAATTGGCCCAATTTTAGCGACGCTAATCGCTAGCTGTCAAAAACAGGACATAACATAGTTTAAAAAGTTGATACTGGAACTGCTTAGCATAAAATTTACCCACGTAGAAGAGTGAACAGAAAAAAAAATTAATTTCTTTTCCTCAATTAAAACACTGAGGAATATTCATCTTCTTTCGCTTTTTATTTACATTCAACAAAACTGGTACCAGTTGCGACCTGGTGCAGCTAACAAATAGTGTCCTGGAGAAGTCTAATGAGCTTTGTTTCCTTGAATACTACTTAAAAAAAGTTTAACTTCCTCTGATGTATTTAACGCCATTATTAGCGCGAAAATATACTATCACAGAGAAAAAAAAAAACATTTAAATGCAGGTTAACTAAAGATTGTTTTGACAATCTTACTCAGTTCAACAAAGCATTCTTCGAAGCATAGCAATTCATCTTTCACTGCTCGGGGCTTAGCAATCAGTTGATCGTACGAAGCTCAGCTATGAGTAGGCAAAGAAGAAACAAAACACGAAAGTCAAAGAAGCAACAAGAAAAACTTCATCTGTTTTAGAAACTGTTGGCCTTGGTTTGTATCTCTTAGATTCACTGTTACTCTTCATTGGTTACCAGTGCACCGTGTGTAGCCAGTCCTCTTCGTGCATTACAAAACATGATTACGTTATTCCCTGTTCAACCGGTACATAATTTATCGCCTGCCGAGTTGAGACAGCGAATTGGGAAGGTCATTTTGGGATATCGGGGAAAATAATTGAGATATCACAAAGCCCCAGAAAACGGATCACAAAAATGGGGCGCGATATTTCAAAGAGGAAGCGGAATGGCGAAGGATCCCAAATGAACGACCAAGCGTCCTCGTGGGGCTGTGGGGCGCGCTTTATGGGTATTCTTGGTGTTTTGACAGTCATTTTAGTGGTGGCGGTGGTTCATGTGGCGACCAGCGACGAGCGCAAAACATATTTTGATGAACTCGTTAGTACAGGCGGCGCTATTCGCTCGGCGCGTGATGTTAAGTCGCATTCTGAAGAGGATTCCGTGGACGTTTGTCAAACTAATGATTGCAAAAGGGTGGCAAAATACATAAACGCTTCCATGGATTACTCCAAAGATCCCTGTGTGGACTTTTTCGATTATGTATGCGGGGGTTGGATCAAGGCTAATCCTATTCCCAAGAGTTCATCCACGTATTCCACTTTTGCCAAGCTTAATGGGCGCGTGGAGCGCAACCTGAGGCACATCTTGGAAAAAGGCATCACAGCTAGTAGCAAAAAGTTGTTTCACTTGCCAAAGGACTTCTTCGAGTCGTGTATGGATTTAAAAACTATTGATCACTTGGGCGACAAACCACTTCGTGATTTGATCAATGACATCGGCTCCTGGAGCATTAATAGTAAGTCAGGCTGGAATGAAGACGATTGGGATTTAGAGCAAACTTTGTTGAACATCCACAAGAGCTACACCTCTGCTGGCGGACCCTTGTTTTCTGTCCACATTAGCGACGATCCTATAAACAACACCAGGCACATAATTGAGGTGAGTGCCGTTCAATAAGAATCCTGGTGTGATATAACAAGTAAGTAAGGACTGCTTCTTACATGAGTGCTTCTGTTGGAAAGACCTTTTTTTCCTGATCATGTCATCGCCACTTGATGAGGGAAATCGCTTTGTTACTATTTTCATTTATTGGAGAAACTAAAGAAATCGTTTTATAATTGGCAGGACAATTTCACACGCGCAATATTTGTTTTCATATTTGAATAAGAGGAATCAAAAAAACACCCAGATCAATTGACAACAAGCATGTGGGCGGAGAGATGGCTAAACTACGGTTGGATCACTCACGAAACTTAAACATATCATCCTTCTGGTTAGAAAAAAAGTTACCGCATTCTCTTAAAAGTCATTACTTATAGTTCTAATTCTATTGTGACAAGCACAAGAGGCTGTTCTTAATATAACCTGCTAATTTTAACCAGTTTATATGGCATTTAGCTTGGCGTACTACCTGTTGTACGTGAAATATATAACCCTCTCGAGGTGTCAGATTATTCCGTTTTCCCTTAAATGTCCAAGAAAAGGAGATGGAGAACAGAAAAATGAAAAATCATTCCACTGTTCCAGTCGGAAAAGGAATGTGAATTCAAAATGTCTTTTAATCCCGTAATAGCTTTTCAAGTATCTACGAAGTGGCCATCGACGTTTCCCTGTACTAATATATTGATTGAAAAATTTCAGGAAACCAATATTCTTCCTTCATAAATTGTTTGGTAAAACCCTTAGGCGAAGAACTAAAAAAAATAACTCAACGGTAACAAAGACTGGCTTCAAGTTCAATTTTTGATGAACCAATATATACTATATATTTAATTTACCTTATTTCATTGAAGCGATAACGACACAAGGCTGTGGATGACGCGTTTAACTCATAGCTGAGAATTGGCTTAAATTTTATCTGTCAATTGAGAAACAACTTTTTTTGTTATAATTACTGATAGATGATATCTGAGATGTTAAAAAATTTACAAATAACTGACAAATGGGCTTAGATTGACTGAGAGCTAAGAAATCGTTAAACATGTAATTGAAAACTGAGATCCCAGCAACCCATCCAGGCCCTCAGCAACAAGCTCAATTATCGCGGGGTTGACGAAACTAACCCAGACTTGGCAAAAAAACATGAAATCAATTTGCAACTTTCAATTCATTGTATCTAAGGAGACCTCTACCTAAACATACCGTTTAAACATAATTCAGTTACCACATACCAAGTTTGAACCACCTATTTATCGTATACCCAAACCCTGACTGACCCTATCTTAGGATGGATGAACCCCAAATAACACTGACGATAGTAACCGGTGGAAAATGTCCTGTACTTTACAGTTCGTCGACCTTCGGACTCCAAAAAAATATATATATAGACTTCTACACATACACACTTGTTTATTGTCCACTTGAAACACACTTAGATAGATCGTTTTCTTGTAGTTGTTCTATTACTGAGCCATAACAACTTTGTTCCATTACTACCAGATAGATCAATCCGGTCCTAGCCTTTCGAGAGAGGTATACTTCGACAGCCCAAAGGTAACAGTTTCACTGGTTCTAAGTTTTTTGTTTGTTTCGTGTGTTTTGAAAGTTGGTCAAATCAATTTTGAAATGGCAAAGTTACTGAAATAATTTTATAAACTTTGCATCATTTTGGCAGTCCTTGGCATATGCCTTTTCTGAATGATCAAAAGTGTCATGCTTTTGTAATTTTTGCATTTAAGATTATGACAGCGTACAAACAGTTCATCACAGCCGTCGGAAAATTGCTTGGTGGTGATGACGAAATGAAGAAGCGAGCTGAAGAGATTGTGGCGTTTGAAAAGAAATTAGCTAAGGTAACAACAATTATGATTCGCTGGTTCTTCAAGCTTTGCAAGTAACTATGTTATGACAGCCTGTGATTTGGTGTTTGGAATTTTTTAGATGTTGTAGGGATACTTTAGCCTAGAGTACCAAAATGTTTACTGCAAAGATAAGTATTACATACGTTTGTAACAATAAATGTCTGGACCAAATATGCCCAAAGCCGTGCTAACTAAAAAAGCATTAAAAAGTGAATTAAAAGATAGATTCCATCAACTCTAGAGTAAAATACTGATCATCATCCTGGGTACACATTTTCTATTTGAATTTAATTGATGTGTTTCAGATTAGTGTTCCTGATGCGGACAAGACTGATTCGTGGTTCAACCGAATGACCATTGGTAAACTGATGAAGGACGCGCCTGGGGTGAGAAAGATTTTGTTTTATTTTTAATCAATTTCTTGAAAATAGTTGGACAATCAGTGCTGATATTACAGTGCAAATAACCTCACAGACGTAACACATTCAACATCAACTGGTATGTCCTTACATAGAAGGCATACCTGATATGAGATGGTACAAGCTGTAACCTGGTTTCAAGGTAGTTTAATGTAACGACAACTTTACAAGAACAACAACAATAACAACAACAGCAAAAACTTAAATTTACCCCCGAGCTGCAATTGTTTAGACTGATGTAATCTCGAGTGTATTAGTCAGAATTCAAGTAAGTGAATGTTGATTCTCCTCTCTGTCACAGTACCCTTGGATGCATCATTTATCCACTATATTTGCTAACAACACATTGAAAGATGACGAAGAGATCATTGTTCCTGCGCTGCCATATCTACAAAATATGACAAGGATTATCAAGGAGACTCCCAAGAGGTATGAAAATCGTCTCTGTTTCTGCCTGGATAAGTCGACCAAACTATGCGGGAACTGGGAATTGTTACATGAAAATTACAAATAATTAAAGTTAGCACACGGGTCTTTGTTGGTAGAGTAAGCCAATCGTTAGATTCAGAAGTAGACCTATAAAATTGGAAAAATGTTGAATTGGCTATGTTGTCAGAACAAAAAGACTGACAACGTACGTCTCCGACTTTCCATTCTGTTTCAAGACCGACGTTGACACAAATTGCGGAAAAAAAAACTATGAGTTGTTTTTCATTTATTTTTTCCAGAATCCTTGCTAACTACATCGTGTGGAATGTTATACAAGACGAGGTGTCATTCCTTTCGAAGCCTTATCGCAAGGCCAGGACGCAGTATCGAGAGCGTGTCCTGGGCTCCAAAGGGCAGAAGAAGCGTTGGAAAACATGCGTAACGTTTACAAACGAGCTTCTGGGGGACATATTAGGATCAGCTTATGTGGAACATCACTTCACCAACAAGAGCAAAAAAATGGTGAAGGAGCTTTGAGAAATACGTACTGAATATAGGCTGAGACGAAAACGAGTCACCTAAAAATTGTCATAAATAGATATATCAAGTCAAACCTGTGTTAAGGACCATCTATCCTTAGTGCGGCCCTCCCTAACCTGCACCAAACAATACAGTAACAGTTCTACTGCTTTCCTTTGTCCATCACCTGTTACTTCGTCTTGCATGAGTACTCTGAATAATAAAAAGAAACAAATCTAAAAAGCGAATGCATTTTTCCTTGCCACTAATCCTTATAACCCCCAATGATATCGAAAGGCAGTGAAAACGCACTTGTTTATTGCTCAAAGCTCTGATGTTATTGAAAAGGGCAATAATTCTCAAGGTTCAGGGTGGAAACGTCATCGAGAGGGCAACGAAATTTGAGCTACTAGTGAATGCATAAAATAGTTTCTTTAATAATTGATACGAAACCTTGTCTTGAGATGCCTGTGATTACCTCTCCTAGGCGGAGGATATGATAGTGGAGGTGCGAAACGCTTTCAAAGATAATGTCAACGGCATTCCATGGATGGACAAGACTACTAAAATGGCAGTAATGGAAAAGGTGCGATCATTATTGTTACATGCTAGATGTTGTTCAAAGTTGTGGATGCAGCCATCTCTTTACATGATCAATAGCTAGTTTGCACATAGTTGCATTGCACAAAGTGCTGGGTAGTAACGGTGTCAATAATTTTTGTACACTTTCATGGGAAAAGAGAGAAACCTCCAAATCTGCGGCACACATTATAATATATAGAAGTTGTATAGAGTACTTTTTACTGCGTAGCGTCTGGTCACAGTTAAGGAAAGACCAAAAGTGGGTTGCCTTACTTCTCGCCCCTCACTCCAACCCTCTTTCTTCATGCATTATAATTTGGACCTCGCAATGCACGACACTATTTGTGGTTAGCACCTGAATGCAAACATTTACGACAAGATTCACTATTCTAAATAAAACAGTATTAGCGTAATAAAATTACTATTTCTTCCAGGCGGATGCCATGCACGATGAGGTTGGTTTCCCACATTATTTAGTTGACAAGAAGAAATTCAAGAAGAGGTTCAAAAAGTATGATCACGTAAGTGCTAAGGGTTAAATCAAACTCTTCCTTCGCTTGGTTTTAAAACGTTTGATGCTTAAATTAACAAAGCACAATTACTTTCAGCTGTAACTTCACTGATTTCTGATTTTCAGGTAGAGATAAAGAGCAACACTCTTTTCAAGAATAGAATTGCAATTTTAAAAATGGCGCACCAGAGGATGCTTAGTAAGCTAAGAAAGCCTGTCGATAAAGAAGAGTAAGTTGTTGTTGTTGGCCACCAATTTTTGGAACAAACTGTGATTTTGTCTTCAGGATGACAAGAGCATATTCTGTGTGTGGACCGATCTAATAATAATAATAATAATAATAATAATAATAATAATAA